CAGGCTAGGGTCTCTAGGACGTGAAGATTAAAGTCGCTAACCAGAAGAATGTGGCTGTGTGAGAATAGTTTTCATAGTGGAGTCTAAGCGGTTGTCTATTTTTGAAGTGGACGATGGAGGGCGGTCCACGACACCCAATATACATGTATCACCACGTGTTAGGTGAAGAGAGCACCAAGGCACGTCAACCATCTGAAACTTCGGGTCGTCATTGAGATCTATATGTGGTTCACTGCGGCAGCGGAGTAGTACACTACCTCATCTATTCGGTCGATCATTGCACAGAATGGGTATTCCAGCTAGAACGATCTCGGCATCATGTTTTGGTAACCATGGTGAGGTCCAACGACATCGAGGCCCGACGCAGCCGAAGCGGTATCAGTTTGGTGAAAAGACCTTACGTGTTGGTATAAAAACAAGAGGGCCTTGTATGCTAAAAATTGATGAAAGGTGCAGACAGCAGTTTTGAGACTTGGCCGACCATCGTAAGGTCGGCTGTTATTTGATTTTTTGAGGAGTCACCGGCTCCAGAGATGAAGTTGTGGTAACTTGCTGCACGAGACACTCCAGGTCAGGATGACCCTGATTGCCACTTGCATGCTACGGTGTTCCTCCGGATATTATGACGGCTGATAGCTTATTCACTGCGATGGACTCCACAACGGACGTGTTCGTTAAGTTTGCCACCGCCATAGAGTAACCAGTAGCTTGTGCTCGTGTCTCTGCTGTCTTCAGTAGAATTTCTGTTGGTAGCACGTTACGTACCTTAGTCCAGTTCTTTAGAAGAGTCTGTACCGTTAGCTCAGACTACAAAACTAAGCTCAGCAACCTAGAACCACATCGCTTGTAAGTAGAAGACATGGGAATCCTTGCCAACGAAGCAGAAACGACATCTCCTACAGAGAGTGCCTTGCGAATGTATCGCAATTGCTCCCAGTCATCGCCTGAGCTTCATCGGAAAAGGAAGGTTGGGACGCAGGAGCACCGATAACAATAACGGCTTGCTTACCGTGCTTTCGACTTCCCTCTTTGTTGCTCAGGTCCCTTGAACGTTCCTTCCATGGGATGTCCGATAGTATGCGCACTCGGTTTGATGCATTGAGAAGTCGCTTCGCAGAGAGCAAAATGGCCTCCGTCCCATCCGCGGAATTTAGTGTTAATCTAAGTAATCGGGACTCAGTATAATGCAATGAGTCTGGATGACATACGAGTGTGGGGTTAGCAAGGAGACCTATGGCATTACAGACAGAGTCCAATCGTTTACGATCCACTCTCAGTTTGCCCCTTATAATATTGGGTCTAGATTCGGGAACGTTAGTGCACACATAATTTAAAGCGTCATGGTTGCACTTGGTGGCTGTCAGCTTAAGAGCAATAGGTCCTGCTGTGGATATGTGGGCGATACTGGTGATAGCACTTCATGCTGACAAGTTGGATAAGTGCAGTCACGGGTATCTTTTCTGGCGTTGTCCTGGTAGCAACCGATGCGCATAATGTTCAGTTATTTCTTTACTATAGACTGGCTGTCATTTTGGGTCTCAAGTATGGCAACTGAATTACTGATTGCTACACCTTTGGATGAAGTAGAACCATGCACATAGGGTTGGGACAGTTGGAGACTGAGAAGCTGGGGTGAGGTTGGGACGCCTGATTCTCTTCTTTGGCGTGAATGGCAAACTGGCAGCGGACCACTTAGAGGTAAGCGTAACTTTGTTTTATTCCATGGGTATAGTCACGGCGTTCACCAGTTGCTCAACTGCTTTCGTCAGGTTTTTACACTAATTAGAATGACTAAACAACTAACAACCGGGATGGATTCGCGCGCCAGGAAAAGCATAACGGCCTCCTTTTGATGATGCACTGCCTAGTTTCGAGAGAACATATCTCTTTACAGTGAAATGATTTAGAGCAGTTAGCATACGTTAGTCCCATCTTGATGACTCCAGTACAAAGGTAACCTTTACACTTCGGGTGGTCTATGTTCATTGGTGACGTGCACCTTTGTGGTCTCGCGCAGGTTGTAAGATCAATCAGCCGACCAACTTCTAATGGTTCACGGAGATGGTGGGGTGAATCGCACGTCGAGTGTGTGCAAATTTGCTTGAATGCACTCGTTGGAAAGGTAAACAGGCGCGCTTTGTTGGCTGGCAGGTTGACGCATGTCCGCTCTGACTAGGCAGGGGTCTGTTTCTGAAGCTGAATGCTAGTGATATGCATAGAGCGAATTAGAGCGCACAAATTCCCCTACAGCCGCCTTGAGGAACACGATATTTGAATAAAATTGAGATCAGTGGAAAGCCTTGAGATTTCCCCGTCGCATGTCGTTACACAACTAAGGTTTGGGTCCAAAGCGAAAAACTAGTAGGTGTAGATTTAAGTACGAGAGCCATTAAAAACGGCTGGTGTTGCTAGAACCGTGAATCGCGGAAGATGATTCTACATATGATGGCTCAGGGAATAGCGCTAGTAACTCCGATTCGAATGACCGTACAATGACTGTGCTGAGAGCAGGTAGGGCGGAGAAAAAGCCGTAACAACTAAAGTGTGATAATTACGCGTCTGTCGACTAGCACGTCAAAGGCATGTGTTGGAATGAGGGGTCAGCGCATACGCATTGAGAGACGTATCAAAAAGTCCCTGTCATGCAAGTCGCTGAAGTGAGACAGCAGTGTATGCTGCTACCAAGCTAACGGACTCAATGTAAGAACTCGTGTCATTTCAAAATGGGTTGTCATGAGGTTTAGCTTCAAGTTAGGCAAAACGGCGACGGAGATTCGTGGAATATTAGTGCAAGTGTACGGTGTTGCATCAGTAAGTAAAAAGTGCCGATGATGATCCGAGTTCGAGTTGACCGTTAACAAGCGTAACCCATAAAAGTCGAACGACTGCGACGGATGCTTGTAGATGATCGGCGGATGTCTTTGAGAGTGATAGCAGAAAAGTTGAAGATAAGCAAAGACAGTGTAAACAGTATTGTTTATGAAGAGTAAAAAAGTGGAAGGTTTATGCCAGATTCGTATCGCGCACGCTGAGAGAAGAACCGAAACAAACTTGAATGGAAAAGTCTGGAGATTCCGTCGACATGTCTGGTCGGAATCCTGAGTTTTTAGAAACTATTACTATAGGAGATGAGGTCCACCTTACTAATCAGACTTGATGCCGGTGGACCTTTCTTGTTTCCCCGTATTGAATTAGAACTGAAAAGCTTAATCTTCACAGTCGTCGCGGATATCCAACAACGCGTGATCACAGTGCTCTGAGTGATTCCACAAGAATCGTTTACTGACAGTTTCCAACAACTTTAAAACCGATATCACAAGTGTGGTGTAGTTAATGATGATAACGTTGAAGCCCAGTAAAGCCATTTATTTGTAGCCCTTGTTTTCGATATTTGATGAGACCATTCACCGAGCGTTCTAGACGTACCTTGTATCATGTGTTGCCATTTACTACCTGCTGGTGGATTTAAGGGAACGGACATTGTGTAATGTATTAACGGATCGAACATGAAATAAACACGTTAATTGCCTACATTATTGTAGGACATGCACAACAGTGTATAAAGGTGTGCCACAATATGCACACCGAAATAGACCCTTTCAACGCGTACTAACAAAACGAGCTAAAATTGCAAACACTTTTAACAGCTGAGCGAAATAAGTCCGGGGACAAACGAGGTTGCATGATAGCCTATCGGTAAGAGAATGTTTAGAACAAAACTAATTGTGCACTGTGCTAACGCAATCTTAGTTTATCCTAAAGGGAGGACACCTATGTGAAGGTTTGGGATCACGAGCAGTATTTGTAGACAATGAACCTTTGTTCAGTTTATGGCCATAAGTTAGATGAACAAGTTGATAATTCAGGTGCGTAATTTCTTAGCGCCCAGTTTAATCTTAGCAGTATTGTCAGTGAGAGCCTTCACGTCGCTAAATGTTGCCATGTAGGTTCCAGACGCAAGTTGTAGCGCCCTAAAAGATTACTGCTATCTTCCATGTACAATTTAATTGTGGACCGATGGTACATTACTCACTCTTGTTTTACTCTTCCTTACTACCGGCTCGACACCCAACTGCCTTGCAAGTTCCCGCGCTCACGTGTACGCTCTCGCCTCGCTTCATCCGTCCGCTTCTTATTGTAGCCCATCGAATACAATCCGCTGTGTTCGACTCCCATTGCCTTCTGATATCCGCGCTTACTTTCGCGCACCGTCTCGGACTAGTATTAACTAGTCCTACAAAGTGCACGCCACAACAAAGTGGGGTGCAAAGTGATCAAATTATCCTACCCGAACAGCAAATCTGTGTTTAGCTTCAATAGAATTACACCCACTCATTGCAAAAGGCAAACCACAAACCATTTGGCCCTGTAACCGGCAAATACGCAGTAACGAAATAGTAGTGTTAATTGATTTACTTCACGGCTTCAGGCTTCTTCAAGTATGGGCGCTTAAACGCCGAAAGCTTGAATTTGGGACATACGTCATGGTGGAGCCGTAGTAGAGTTTCTGGAGTGAACGATGAAACAACGGGGCTCATGTGGCAATATTGGTTGAAGCTCATACTGACGTATGGGGGCATACATGCGGTGGCTAGTGCACACAATAGGGTCATCATGTAGTCAATCGCGCTAATCGGACGCAAGAGTACATGGCACACGTGCGCACATGTTTTAACTTCCCGTAAAAGTTAACGACTAACCAGTACACGATGAGGAAAATGTCATGCGTGTGGATCTAAGCGAGCCACCGAAGAACGACACGTAGATTTGGTCATTTAGGTTCTAGATAATTATGTTTCGTCCGGTTGGTAAACAAAAAGACAGAACCAATTGGCTGGTTTTCAGTTGATGCCAAGTTCCAGTGCTAAACCGGATAACCGAGAGGAGCGTACTTGAGACAAAGCATAACAAACCTTATAACGTCGTGTTTTACTGTGGTACATACTGAACAAATCAAACGCTGAAATACTTGTATTACGGTGTAGGCGAAACAAAGATACCTTCAGTGTAGCTTTGATCACAAATTTAACCTTCGGTGGAGCCAAGGCTTTTTGTCCATCTTCCAGTTGTTTGTTTATAAACTTTTTATATCCAACTGGGTCGTTAACTGCCATTTCGTCCAGCATTTTCCATACAGCCGAAGCTTCTGCGAATAACTCGTTTGTCATACCTTGAGTAGACAGTTGTTCCTGAAAAAAGTAACTCTTGATTAATGTTGTTATGCAACTTTTTATGGGAAACATAATTTAGCAGGTGTATAGAAATTCATTACTAACAGATTCCCAAAGACTGCGAAGCTAATTGTCTCAAAGAAGCTCCCCTGCATGAGCACCTGAAATGATGCCGACGGGGACACGTGCTGGACGGAAATGGGGCAGCCGGAATAGGAGTAGGCGCTTTCGGTCGCCTTACCTCATACCATTCACTGTCACTAATTATCTCCATGTTAGACCAACACTAAACTATCGGAAAGCTATGCCATTTATAAACAAGAGCTCGCGATGATAGTGAGATGAAAGAAACGTATGTAAAGTTAGTTGTCAAGTAGATAAATCAAGTGTAACGTGATTATCGATTGCCATTCGTGCAATGTGGGCAAGTTCTACAACGCACATTGGTGAAAGTATTCATTCACTCAAATGTTGGTGTCTGAAGGACGAATTCAAGTTCCAAGAAGTATATTCCACTTTCCATTCTTTACAATTTAACAGGTGTGTGGCAACAGGTAGGCGGTTCCGTAGTATTACGAATATACTTGCAATAAAGCAAGACAACAAGTGAAGTATGCCAAGAAACAGAAAAAGCGAATGCAACTGTCTAAGTGTAAGATCATACTGAAAGGGAATATTCATTAAACTATGTATTGGTTCGTTGGGGTTGCAGAGATCAAAAGAAAAAATATTTTAGTGGCTCCATCACTTCCCGTTTATTCCATGGGTACCGCTATTGGGAGTCCAACAGTCGATTCAAAAACTATATAGTTTGTAAATCGACGACTGGCCCAGCTAAGTTGCGTCAGTCATTCATTAAAGGGTAGGTTACTTAATCGCGACTCGAACACGGGAGATGTACGATATATATATATATATATATATATATATATATATATATATATATATATATATATCAAAATCTGTGGTACAAATATTGTGCCATAAGATTCATACTGGAATGGGAAAACAGGAAAAGAATAAGAAGAGAGAAAAACAGACAATTTTAGTTCCTTTTTGCACTCACCGTTTTTGAGTATTGTTGACAGTTAGTTTTATTACGGAAGGGAAGGCGAACTACCATAACTCGTAGATGTACATGTCCGCCACTGATGTCGGTCTTGAGCAATGTCTTCCAGGGCATCCAATCTGCGACACTCCGTGTTTCTGGGACCCCAAGCAGAGAGTGGAAAATGACTGACGGAGATCAATTGTTTTGCCAGCTTCTCTAACTTGTAGGCTGTCCACCGCGCAACCTCCTCAAGTCCTGCACAGCAACCGCAAAAAATACATGACGAAGAAGGCGCTGAGCGGGCATGCGCAATACGCGTCCAAGCCGCCGCATTAGACGCAGCTGGACGAGCTCCTCGAGTAAGTGACTGCCTTTACCCAAGATTCGCTCTCTGACTTCTACACAGCAGCGGCCAGCAAGCAGCGGTGTTCGAAGACAGACAGTCGGCACAGATCAACGGTACGAATGGGCCAGATCTCGCAACCATACAACCCTGCAGTGCGGACAGGTTTCCGACTAATAGCCGAAGGTGTGCAGTTCGGCTTCGGGGATCATGCAAGATCAGCAGATGTCGTGACGAGAGATGCAACTTATTAGTGATCTCAACTTACGTTCCAAGTTACTGCAGTTGCGAATCGATCAAGAACGATTTCAGTTGTGAACGTCACAAACTCTTGAGTTCTTGTTGTCGATGCAGAAGATAGTAAACACGGGTTGGTCGTTTACTATCATGTAAAAGTCACGTCGGTAGTCACCATGTATTCTATAAGACCCGCTCAGATAATGGAGTCGAACATCTCACACTGTACAAAGAAAATTGTCAATCTACTGCGAGCACCAGCTTTCGGCAGAAGTTCCGCTACATAGTGGTCACTGCCTGTGTCAAAATCATGTACTCAGATTCAGTTGCCATTCGTTCGCCGAGCTTGGAAATTTGTTTACAAACGTTTCACCACCATGCGAGGTAGCATCATCAGTGCGCTGAGAGGTAGAGTATAATCTCTCTGATTCAATTGTCAATCCGTGATCGGCGTGCAGGTGACTTTTGAAAGTGACGGCTTCAATCTGTGCCCCGTGATCTCTACCCATTTTCCCTACGGCGGAAGTCGTCGCTCGAGTTGTTCCTATTCAAGCGGCGTGCTGTAATTTCTCTGTTCTTTCTGACGGAGGAGCTGTTAAAGTGGGACGAAGTCGATATGCATGTTGATTGAGTCCTTTGTTGAGAATCACGCTTCCAGGAACTCCCTTTCTCTTCTTGTTTCGCCTCGTGCCAGGACTTTTGTTTTGACCCAATCGAAGCTGTTCTTTTTCGTCCACGTGCGCTGAGACTAGCGATGAAGCATAGTGCCTTTTGCACGCTCTTTTGTGCTCTTGTATTCGTGTTGCTAATTTTCCACCTGTTTGACCAACATAGTCCTTTTTGCAATTTCTACAACGTATTCTATACACAATAGTACGTTGCCCGTGAGCCTCCAGTTTTGCTTTCGGTTTTGACAGTTTTCCTCAACGTGGCAGTTGGTTTGTGTGCTACGATGAGGTGATGCTGTTTGAACAGTCTTGCCGCCATTTCGAATATGTTCTGCATATAAGGCAAAACAACGCGTCTCTCTTTCGTTGGTGTAGGCTGTCTGTTGGCGTTGTTGTGGTTCAGACACTTTCGGATGAAGCTTCGCGGGTATCCGTTAAGTTGGAAACAGTTAAATAGATGCTTCTCTTCTTGTTGCTTTGCCTCTGCGGTACTGCAGTGTGTTTGCACTCTACCAAATAGTGTCCGCACATAGCTTACTTTGTGGCATTGTGGGTGGTTACTGTTATAGTTCTGCATTTGGTCCGTATGTGTGTATTTTCTGTAAGCTGATGTTTGCAGTCTCCCTTCCATGGTTCTGATTACTAATACCTCCAGGAAAGACAGTTGGTTCCCATTCCCCATTTCCATCGTAAATCGGATGTCTTCAATGGCGTTGTTCAATAGCTGTTGTGCGACTGTAACTTGACTGCGTTTGTTGCTCACAAAAGTATCGTCAACATATCGGACCCACAGTTTTGGATTAATGTGTGGGAGTACATTCCCTTCCAGTTTCTGCATTACCATCTCCGCGACGAGTCCTGATATGGGTGATCCTATTGGTGCACCCTTCAACTGTTCGTAGATCTTCCCGTTGAAAGAGAAGTAGGTTGACAGACACAACTGGAGTAGCTTGCATACATTTTCGGTCGTCATGTTCCCGATTGTTTGTTCACTGCTGTTCAGGCGTTCTGTGATGATTGTTGTTTCCATTTGTATGTTGGCAGATGTAAAGAGCGCAGTCACGTAGTAATAATAAAATAACGTGTCAGCTGTACGCCGTAACGGCGCTTTGCTGCCGCGCGACCACCACCAGTCGCGCGCGGGCTGAGTATACCGCGAGGACGCCCACCCCTACGCGGATTCGAACCGGTGACCTTATGGTTGCAAAGCAAGAGTGCAGACCACTTGGCCACCGGCCGACAGTCACGTAGTAAGATATCCTTGTCTCATCTTCATCTATTCGCAGGTCTGAGCTTTTGTAGAAATTGCTGAGAATTATTTATGGAATATTACGATCCACAGATCAGGTATTTGAGGCATATCCAGATTTCTTTCGCCAAGTTGTAGGTGGGTGTTCCTGGCAAAGACAAGATTGGCCATAACGGTGCATCCTCTTTGTGTACCTTTGGGAGTCCATAGAATTGCGCGATGCTCGAGTTGCGGACTCTCGTTCGTTCGCTCTCCTTCGTGATTTCGTTCTTTTCCTGAATTTGTTTCCGTGTTCTGTTTATTTTGTCTCTCAGCTGCGAGGTTGGATCGGTGTCAATGCACTTGAGGTCGCTGTGTCGTTGAAGAGACGTAAATCTTTCTCAGTGTAAGCCACTCTATCCATTATAACAGTCATCCGTCCCTTCTCTGCCAGCAGGATGATGATCGCTGCGTCAGACTTCAAGGTTTCATTGCCTCCTTTTCTTGTCTGCTTTGAGTATGGTATTGCCTGTTGCGCATTGTAGCTGGAACAATGGTGTACCTTATTTGCTTTTTAGTCTCTTCATCAATCCCATTGGATTGTACGGCGCTTTCGAATGCTGTCAGAAAGTCTGTAGTTGCTACATCTCTGAAGTTATAGTTTAGTCCATTGATGAGGACTTGCTGTTCGGATTCATTGATTTGTCGGTTAGACAAGTTTCTGATCCAGCTATCACTAGTAGTTCTGTCTTTAGCAGAGGGCAATTTTGATAACTTATCGGGAAGTGCAGTATGCTTCTTTGTCCTAGTGTTTGTTGCCCGACGTTCTATTGCAGCGTCAAGTTGTTCCCTTAGTTGTTATCCAAAAATCTGAAAAAAGGTAGACTGATGTTCGTCCAGACATCGTTCATATTTCTTTAGTTGATTGTGAGCGTCGGTGAGCATCAGCCGTAGCAACACAGAACGCCTGAACAGCAGTGAACAAACAATCGGGAACATGACGACCGAAAATGTATGCAAGCTACTCCAGTTGTGTCTGTCAACCTACTTCTCTTTCAACGGGAAGATCTACGAACAGTTGAAGGGTGCACCAATAGGATCACCCATATCAGGACTCGTCGCGGAGATGGTAATGCAGAAACTGGATGGGAATGTACTCCCACACATTAATCCAAAACTGTGGGTCCGATATGTTGACGATACTTTTGTGAGCAACAAACGCAGTCAAGTTACAGTCGCACAACAGCTATTGAACAACGCCATTGAAGACATCCGATTTACGATGGAAATGGGGAATGGGAACCAACTGTCTTTCCTGGAGGTATTAGTAATCCGAACCATGGAAAGGAGACTGCAAACATCAGTTTGCAGAAAATACACACATACGGACCAAATGCAGAACTATAACAGTAACCACCCAGAATGCCACAAAGTAAGCTGTGTGCGGACACTATTTAGTAGAGTGCAAATACACTGAAGTACCGCGGAGGC